CAGGGACAGTCCACCCCCCCCCCGCCGAATGCCATCACTCTACTTAGCAACTAATTCCCCCAACACTGTCAATAATTTACCAAGAATCAGTGGTGGGTTGCTCTAGTTCAGCCAAACCTGTAGTAGTGGCATCAGGACGTCCCGCCTACCCACCCGGATACTTCTGCGCATGTGCAGAAGTGTTGCACGCGTGCAGCAGCACATCCAAACAGGTAGTAAAAATATTTGCAACCGACCACTGCCAAGAATATATTACTATTATTCTTCTATTCCTTCCTAGTATCTATCTCTCCCCACTTATGATTATAACCATGTTGTTTGTATCTTTCCAATTTATATTGTTTTTATTGTTTCCTAATTTGATAGTTTATTAGTAACCTTGACTATCACTGTTGTATCTTTTTATTCTTGATGAATGTCTTTTTTTTCTCCTTATGTACACTGAGAGCATATGCACCAAAGACAAATTTCTTGTGTGTCCAATAAAGCAGTGTTTTTCAACCTTTTTTGTGCAAAGGCACACTTTTTTCATGAAAAAAATCACGAGGCACACCACTATTAGAAAATGTTAATTTTTTTTTAACTCTGTGCCTATATTGACTATATATAAAGTGTTTTTCCCACGGCACACCTTACACTATGTCACGGCACACTAGTGTGCCGCGGCACAGTGGTTGAAAAACACTGCAATAAAGAATGCTATTCTATTCTATTCTAATTCTATTATGTTAGAAATGCTGGACTACAGGAAACAAAACTTGTAATTAAAATTAAAACACCAATTGCTAGTCTTAGCCTATCCTAGCACTGATGATGTTGCCTAGTTTGGATCTGCAAGAAAACAACCAAGCTCAGAGAGCACCAAGGAATCTTCATTTAACTCTGAGCTGCAAATATTCTCCTTTATTGACAGTTGGTTACATGTTATGTCTGAACTCAAAAGAACTCAAGGCAGTCTCGATGATACGATATCCATCAAGGCATAGAGTGTCAAAAGTGACCGAGGAATATGCTTCCCAGATGAGCATGCCTAGCATTAGGCTGATTAACTCTAAAGCATTTCTTCCGGGGAAAGAAATAAGAGTAGCAATCCCCACCACGTTGGCATTGGGAATCTTTCCCGCTGGAATGTTTTCTTCCTTCAGCCTGCCTCCTCCCGCCAGTTTCGCAATTGGTCCTCCGCAGAAACTGGAGCCGCCTTGCAAACGTGGCGGTCGGGCGGCTCCACCTTTCAGCTTAGGCATTTCCTTTTATCCAATCGCGCGAGGCGTACCATTCAACGGCGCGGAGCTTCACTCGTTTGCAACCGCGTTGCTGAGTGGCTGGGAGGGGAAGGGGAATCCAATGTCCAGTCCAAATTAGGCCATTCATAGGCGTCTTTTAAAAGCCAGACTTTTGCAGCGGGACCAGGATTGTACAATGGGGGCAGGAAAAACGGGTCGACCCCGCGTTGAGCTTTTATGAGCGCGTGGCGCGAGAGAGGCGAGATCCGCTGGATTGGGAGGCAGCCCAAGCAGAAGACACGTGTTAGGCTCTACTAAAGTGAAGAAGGTTTCTCTCCCGACGTGTATCGGAGACGCGAAAGTTTCATCGGAGACGCGAAAGTTTCATCGGAGACAAACCGCCCTTGGGCCGGAAGAAGCCATGAGCCTGGGAACAACTTCTCGCTCTCTCACGGTGGGGCTGATGCTATTATTGTGCATCAACAGGTCCTTGGGCGTCCCCACTTTCAGAAAGGAGAGAGTTGTTCGTCTCGATCCCGAACTCGGCAACCGGCAACACGAAGAAAATCAGAGCTTCCAGTATGATCACGAAGCCTTTCTGGGCAAAGATGATGCCAAAACTTTCGATCAACTTAGCCCGCAGGAAAGCCAGGAACGGTTGGGGTAAGACGGTCCTTATTTTTACCAATACTGGAAAGCATAAAGGTCCCTCGTTCCCCGAGGCAAGAAGGGTGATTTAGAGATTTTTCTTTAACAGTGAAATAATAGTATTTTGTACGCCGATGGAGTTTAGCCACTCTGCTGTCAAAGTTTAATAGTCTTTTTCCCGATAAACGCGCGGCAGCGAAAATCAACTCTGCAAGAGGCGAAGAAATGTCTTACTATGATGCCTTGGTAACGTGGCGGGAGGGAAAGTTCCTATCAACGTCTTGAATGGAAAATCAGTTTTCTTCCTAGATCATGCGGTATGCAGAATTCTAGTTTCATATGGGAAATTCAAGCCCAGGAGCAGCTCATTGAAATAAAAGTGTTTGTTGTAGGAGAGATTCTCTTTCTCTTTTTAAAAACTTTGGGAGGGTGACTTCCTTAATTTGTTGCAGCAGAAACAAGAGTCTTTCATGGGTGAGAGAGATCTACCCAGTATATGACAATTGCATATCTTGTGTTGGCAGATGCGTAATTGTGGGATGGAGGGGTTAAGTTTACAGAGTGGGACCACAAACATTATACAGGTAGTCCTCAACTTACAACAGTTCATTTGGTGACCATTCAAAGTTACAACGGCACTGAAAAAAAAGTGACTTATGACCATTTTTCACCCAGATGACCGTGGCAGCATCCCCATGGTCATGTGATTTACATTTTGATGCTTGACAACTGGTTTATATTTATGACAGTTGCCGTGTCCTTGGATCACATGATCCCCTTTTGCAACCTTTTGTCAAGCAAAGTTAATGGGGAAGCCAGATTCACTTAACAACTGTGTTACTAATTTAACAACTGCAGTGATTCACTTAACAAATGTGGCAAGAATAGTCGTAAAATGGGACAAAACTCACTTAACAAATTTCTCACTTAGCAACATAAATTCTGGGCTCAATTGTGGTTGTAAGTCGAGAACTATCTGTAGTGCAAAACCTATTATTTTGCAACAGCAACAATGACAAATGTAGAAAAAAAAACACCATTGGAGTTGGCTCAAAAGAATCTGATCAGGTGTCCACTTCCAATTCATGTTGTGGCAGGCAGGAAAAGAAACCTAGCAACTAATAAATAGAAACTGATGGAAAGCATTTCAGTGGCGTTGGACTTTAAAAAACAAGTTGAAAGATCAAAAGTAAAATAGTGACACCACAACAGAGCTTGTGAACAGTTTGCTCACTGAAGGGTGTCACAGATAGGAGGAAGTCAAACCAACGTTCACATGGATCCCATTTATTACTCTTTTCTCCAAGATTCTCAGGTTTAATCTTCCCATTTGATCTTCATGACAAATCTGCTGATTAGAGAAACCAGAGAGATAAATTTGAGATTACCCTGTGATTTGCTGTGGCTAAGCATGAACGAGAATATTCTCCAAATTTATACTCTTGTATAAATGAAGCAATAGCTCTCTTGTCTGGCCTAACTTTGTGATAAACTTGACTTTTCAGACGATGCAGGCAGGGAGAATTGCTTTTCTCTAGGCGATGGCTTCCCATATAACTTAATTTTTCTTCCTCGGTTTTTTATCCCATCTAACATCCCCAATTCTTATTATATGGCCATCGGAGGGAGTGACAAATGTTAAAACATGCATAATGTCATGCAAATGCTGTAACTGGTGTTCTGGTGCAAATATATTTTTATGACATTTGTATGAAGACCATCATTTCATGGTGTCAATTGGAGATCTTTGCTGTTGGCTGAGGAAGTTGAAGTCAGCAGCTGAATTAAATGAACATTTTGCTTTGTGGGATGATTCTTCAAGTTGGTGTTAGTGAGGGGAGAGAAGGCCTTTCCTTCCTAACATTGTAACTTTCTCTTGAATTGCCAACTTATTCAAAATAGCTCTCACTGATGTTATTAGAACCCCCTTTAAAGTCTAATTTCTAAGATGGAGGAGAGGAGAAGCAATTATGCGTAAATGAATAGAATAAAGGTGTTGGGTAGGCCTGGCAGTTGTGTCAAAACCGTGCTTTGGTGATGCCTACCTAGGATGTGGTCAGGACACAATTGGTAGAGCTTCCATGTTTGATGGAGCAACTTTAGACTTCAACCCAAATAGTTTCTCCAGTAACTGGGCCCAGAGTTTGATAATGTCATTGGATCTTTTGCCATCTGATTATTGAGATGTGTCACAGTTAAAGGCAAATCAGCTGATTTCTGTCCTTTTCAGTCTGACATTCCTTCTACGCTTGGTGAGTGATGAGTGTTCGAAGCATCCATATAGTACAGAGAAAGCTGATATGATTTGCACCCCTGCTTGCTTGTACCTGGAGGCAGGTGCAGAAGACTTGGTTTTCTGTTGGGCACCTGACGGACATTCTAAACTCTGTATGCCTTTTTTGGTGCAGAACAAAGTTACTTTATTCTGAGGTGGAAGGATATGGCAGAAGTATAAAGTCTAGTTGCTAACTTGAGTAATCACAGTGGCTTCTGAATACAACAGCAAAGCAATCATCTGCTCTGCCTCCTACGCTCCTATATTCAGGAGAGAGGTTTATTTTCCTCTCCTCTTCTAGACTTAAACTGGATTAAAACATTGCTCTTCTTCTAACTCTTACTATACCTTTGAGACAAGCTGTAGTAAGTATTCAGAGAGCCTTCATACAATCCATATTCTCTACCAGCCAAAGTTCTTAATCGTGGGAATGATTCTACATCCATTCAGTCAGTTATAGAATTTCACTTTGTATTGATTTTTATTTCATTTAGGAGTATCAAATATATAACATGAAGGTTTGCCATGCCGTGGACAAATATGCCGTATTTGTTTATATGACAATTGGTCCTTTATAGTCTTAGAGATCATTGTTCTTCTTTGAAAGAGATTTCACAAGCACTGGCCAATATATTGATTGATAATCTGTTTTCACTGGCTACCCATTATATTAGTGTTTGTAAGCTCCATTGAATATTAAATTTCTTCACAACATTTCAATAGGTTATTCTACTTTCAGTAATGGTAATTTTTTGCTATTTCCAATTATTACTTCTTGTCCAATCATATAAATCTAGTTAGTGGAAGATTATCTAGTTAAATTCTTTGCTGTGACAAGTGCTGAATGCTTCTCACTAACAAGCCCACTTGACAAGTCACAACTAGGTTTTTGGGAGAACATTAGGTTGGAAAGTTTGCCTGGCATTTAATGCTGTGTTTGGAAAATTAAACCTCTGTTTAGTGGACTTTGATGCAATGGGCATAATTCTTGTTATATTTAAATAATGGCAGAAATCAATGCAAATCATATACATTGGAACAAATGAAGAATTTCCGTCACTTATATACTGTAATATAATTGTCTTACTACTATTTCATTGACAAAGAGGAACAATGGACAATCTCTCCCACCAAGTGATCTGTTAAATTAGGATTTCATTTGTGTATAACTATACTTTGGGTCCTGGGAGCCTCCAAATGCAATCTGTAATCCAGATAGAGATTTCTTTTCTGATGTATATCCCTCTGTGTATGGGGAAGGGGGTTGGAATTTGTATTTTTGCATTTTATTTGGCTTAGGCAACAGTCCACAAAACTTGACTTTTATTTATGCTTGTGTGAAAAAGAAATGTGATCGGTACTTTTAAAATATGATAGATTATCAGATCCCTACAAATTCAGTGGTCAGATATCATCAGTTGGTGTTGACTCCTGTTGGGTTAACGTACGGCCTTTTACTTTGCTGTCACTCCATTATTATTCTTTCTTCCCTCACTCCCATCACTGTCTGAGGAGTGGCTTAAAATGCCACGTAGGTTTTCTTGGAGAAGGCACAAGGGATTATTTCTAGAGAATGAGAATCTCTTGCCTACATCTCCAGTTCTAGTTGCAAGCAAAGGCACAGTGAAAAGGGAAGAAAGAGTAAGAAAAGATATGGGTAAAGACAGAGACTGTGAAATGTAATTTGCTAATAATGCGACCCTTCCTCAAAAAATAGATTGAAGGTCACTCAAAATAATGCAACATTTTTTTTAAAAAAAATGCAATCATAGCTTGTGGAGGTAAGTAGGGAAAAGATTTCTTGAAACAATAATGTTATCTTAGATCAGATGGATAAGGCAATGTGGTAGAGTGGTTAAAGTTTGAGATTCATACTGGAAATGTCAGGCATGCCTCCATCAATAACCAAGAAAGAAAATTTCCAACTCCATTGCTTGTGGAATTAAAGATACTTTTACTCGTTATGGAAAGATAGCAGCGAAAGAAAAGCAAGATCTGAGCCAAAAAGCCACAAACAAGTATATATCAAACGTTTACCCAGCACCCTCCCACCATGCACCCCAACCCAATAACCAATCTTGCACCCCAACCCAATAACCAATCTTCACCTCCCTAAAGTGTCATGTGAGTTGCATCTTCAAAACTTCTCATTCAGTTGGTATGCAGAGACAGTTGACCTTGACCAAGTCCAAACACAGGCCATCAGCATGCGCAGAAGATGGTGAGATTCAACCCCCCTCCTGATAACTCGTCCAGTATCATGCAGTTCCCTTCCCAAATACCATAAGCCCCCACCCTCCCCGTTTCTATGGCAGCCAATAGCAAGCAAGCAAAGTAGAGGCTGACAGGAAGCTTGCTTAATGATTTTGGACCAGTTCTTTTTTCAGCCATTGAGCCTCACAGGTTTGTTGCAGTGGGGAACAATTGCAGGAGAGAGGGCTTTGTATACTGTCTTTGTGTCCCTGATAGAATGGAGCGATATTGTTGCATCAATATGAGCCAAGGTGGTGCATCAATATGAGCCAAGGTGGCGCAGTGGTTAAATGCAGCACTGCAGGCTACTGCTAGATCAGCAGTTCAGCGGTTCAAATCTCACCGGCTCAGGGTTGACTCAGCCTTCCATCCTTCCGAGGTGGGAAAAATGAGGACCCAGATTGTTGGGGGCAATATGCTGACTCTCTGTAAACCGCTTAGAGAGGGCTGAAAGCCCTATGAAGCGGTATATAAGTCTACTGCTATCAGATAATTTAAAAATTCCAAAGAGATACAGAGTTTAAAAATAAAAATCTAGTTTATATATTTGAAGGAGGACATTATACACTCAAGTGTATCATTTGCTTTCATGAAGATTACATCTGCATTGGGGATACATTAGGGTTTTCCAAAAAATCTTACTCCCATGACCCTAGCAGTAGGTCCTTGACTTACGACAAGAATTGGGACATAATTTCTGTTACTAAGCAAAGCAGTTATTAAGTGACTCACACCTGATTTTATGATCTTTGTGACATGGTTGTTAAGTGAATTATTGCAGTTAGAATTATGTGGTGGTTAAGCAAATCCAGCTCCCCCTATTCATTTTGCTTGCCAGAAGTCATTTGGGACAGTCAAAAATGGCAATCAAATGACCTGATAATGCTACAACCATCATACAGATATGCTGATTGCCAAGTGCCCAAGTTTTGATCATCTAACTGTAGAGATGCTGCGATGATTGTAAGTGAGAAGATTGGATATAAGTCACTTTTTTCAGTGCTGTGTTAACTTCGAATGGTTGCCAAAAGAATTGGAAATTACCTGCAGTTTCCTAGTCACTTGATCTGCTGCAACTGTAGTTAGGGTTACCTATTAGCAAACAAATTAGCTAACAAACTTGTTAGAGGACTATTTTCAATCTTAGGGAAGGTAAAAGAGATGAACAGTCCGGTGGCAGCAATCAGGAAAACTGAGGATAAGCTGCAGAATATTTACAAATTTTGGGGCCGATTACAAATTGTGAGTAGTATCATTTGTTACATAAGCAGAGATAGCAGGTTGTTTACCTCTAACTGTATGGCTATCTGTGGGTTCTTTATCTGTTCAGTGGCCTCTTAGAAACTGTCTAGAGCAGGGGTGTCAAACTCAAGACCCACGGGCTGGATCTTGGTCACATGGTGCTTAGATCTGGCCCACGGGGCTGCCCTGGAAACAGCAAAGGACTGGCTCGCGATGAAATGGAGCTCGGGATGGCTATGCACAGCTGTCCCATGTGCCCCCCCCCCCTGAGCCCTGTTTTTACTGGCAGAGGGCTGCAGGAGGCAGTCACAGCTGAAAATGGGGCCCAGGAAGTTGTTTTTGTGGCAGAACGTTCAGGCCACCACAGGCGTCCCCGACACAAGTGATATCATACTGGTCATGCCCACCCCAACCCCCAAGGCCAAACACAACCCTGATGCAGTACTTAATGAAACTGAGTTTGGTAGAGCCACATTTTTGGTGAAAATCAGTTTTCATATGCTCAAAGATCAAGGTCCTATTTAATCATTTTAGCTGCTTTTTAGCTACCATGATGAAAGAATGGAAGAGCTTACTGAGTTGAGTTACTGCACTGTTTCTTCTTATTTCCTGTTTTCTCCTGTTTTCTTTTTGTTTTTGAGTTGACTTAGGGACCACAAAAGGGAAACACATGATGATATGCCAAACATCATATAAATACTGTGACTTGCATATTTGTGTCATACTTTGGGATGCCCGTATATTTTTGCATCGTTTGTGTGATGACAAAATCCATGAACGGTCATTTTGACATCAACATGGCTTTTCATGGATGCCTATCTCTCTTAAGTGATTTTCTGACTTTTATTTCCCTACATAAGTCTGTGTAAATGTGGAACTAAGTTGCTGTTTATGGTGGTATGACCACTATACTTTTATGCAATATTTTTTTTTCTGTCCTAAATTATATTTTGGGGTGTCTTTCTTTGTGCTTTCTGATATGAGCATATAGTATATTTTTCTGTAAGAGTGTAAACTCTGCTCCATATAACATATATTCACAATTGTGGTATTAGTGGTTACAGAATCCTTCCTTGATGGCAATAGATGAGGGAAATGTGATCTAACAGATTTGAAAATGACCATATTGGAAAGGCCGTGATAAAGGATTGGATGGATTGCTCAACTATATTTTACTATAATTCAGATACTGATTTGGATGTTTGTATGTGATCTGGACTGGAGGACAGATATGCATGAAGAATTTGTTGGTGCAAACAGCAGTGCTAAACAGAAGAGATAAAATGCATCATGTCAGCTTTAGACAGGCATCACTGTGATTCCCATTCAGAAGATTCACTTTAAGCAAATGTAACTGGCATGACAATTTGTGGAACAGTTGCCTAGGATTATATGGATAGTAATGCAAATTCTGAAGCATATTTACCAATATTCTAATAATCTGATTACTTTCCCCTTTATCTCAGAAAAATTGTTGATCGGATCGATGATGATAAAGATGGTTTTATTACAACAGAAGAACTGAAAAATTGGATTAAAAGAGTACAGAAACGTTACATCTTTGAAAATGTAGCTAAGGTCTGGAAGGATTATGATCTCAATAAAGACAATAAAATTTCATGGGAAGAATACAAACAAGCATCATATGGCTACTACTTAGGTAAGAAAATTCTAGACATACAGTAATTCATCTGCATTTCTTTACATTTATCAGCCATAAAACTCAACCTAATTCAGATGCAACAAAGCCAGAATAAATGGTGGATGGATGGAAGATTAGCCTAATAACTAGCTAGTGCTAAAAAAAATTACCTGAGAGTAATATAATTCCCATAGTGAATTAAGTTCTTGGACTTTTGGAAAATATTGGAATGAAAAAACAAAGCGCAATCATCAGAAATTCTGAATTCTAGCATTGTTTCTAAAAAGGCTTATAGAATAATTTTGGGTATATTCCTTTTTGGTTCTTTTCCAGAATAGTATGACTGGAAGTAAAATATTTAGTAAACTATGGTAGGAAATAACAGTTTAGTTCAAACCTAGATCCTATTAGCTCTATTTTGGCATTTTACATTTATGATAAATTTGATACAAAATATATCTGAGAGTACTTGAAATGTTGGATCAGAAAGATTCCAAATATCCCTGAAGTATCCTGCTTTAATTCAGCATGTGTCCAAAACAAATGCAAAACAACTTCTGAAAAGCAACCTGTGTGTATATTAAATACCAGTTGAAATTAAGCCAAGGGCTACAGCTGGGCTGCAGGTTATTCATATTTGTCTTTGATGTATTCAAGATTAAATTGCAAGAAAGCAGAAACTCACTTGTTTGGTAAATATAGGCAGACAAGATGCACAGGTAAGAAATGAATACAGAAAAGAAGAAATGCATTTGTCAATTTAATCTAAATGTAAATGAATCACTAAATGGGACTTTGGATTCAGTTTTGAGTTCCAGAGGACATGGGTACCATTAAAGAGGGTGTAACGTTCCTATATCCTTTGTTTCTGACTACATGTGCTTATTCAAGCAAATCAGTTTTCTGGCCAACTTGGTGGCTCTGTGCACATTGTTATAAACAAGTAAAGATTCCTATGGATAAAGCATATATGTCAAAGCACAAATGCTTTTGAGTGTAAAAGAAAAGGGACTGCTTGGGCTGTTTTCATAATATCATTGCTTTGAGGACTAAAATGGTAATTAAATCCTCTTACAATACCTTCCTTCTGTTTAAAGCACATGGAAGTAACAGTTGCTGCAACACTGATAGTATATATAATGATGGGAAAGGAACGCAGATACATAGCTTTGTCAAAGAGTCTCTAGTAAATACGAAATGCTGTGGTTTTTATTGTGGGCTAAGAAAAGAATTATATTTTTTTTATTTGAAGAATATGGAACTATGTGTGTATGTACAATAGTAGGTTGAAAGATCTAGTGGAAGAATTGCCATATACAGAATACTATACTGGATGTACGTCTTATATAGGGGAGATTTAGAGATGTACATTCTTGGATGAAGCACTCTGGTGTTAATTATTCCTGCAATCTTAGTTTGGTTCATCTTAGTCTAATACTTTCATTTTTCTATAGAGCATTCCAAAGAGTTCCAAGATGTCACAGAGCAACACAATTTTAAGAAAATGCTGCCCAGAGATGAAAGAAGATTCAAACAAGCTGATCTGGATGGTGATTCAGAAGCAACTCGTGAGGAATTCACTGCTTTCCTTCACCCGGAGGAGTTTGAGCATATGAAAGACATTGTTGTTCTAGTAAGCTATGGCAAAGCCACCCTTATTCTTTTGGGCTTCTCTTTATTACATCAGCTTGAAAATGACCTCTTCATCTTTCAAGGTTTCCTAGACAGTAATTACTGTTTTCATCCAGAAGGAAAGCTGTTTTTAGGAATTAGGCGGCTAAAAAGTAGCTTCTCTCCTAAATTTTGGTGTTCCTTTTTATGTCTCGATTAATTCTATATGAGGTTTGTTTAGTAGCAAGATAGCAAACAGAGTCACATACATGGACTAATGGTGGGATTCATTTTTTTTTAATTACCGGTTCTGTGGGTGTAGCTTGGTGGGCATGGCAGGGAAAGGATATTGTAAAATCTCCATTCCCACCCCACTTCAGGGGAAGGTTACTACAAAATCCCCATTTCCTCCTGATCAACTGGGACTAGGGAGGCAGAAAATAGATGGGAGTGGGGCCAGTCAGAGGTGGTATTTACCTGTTCTCCGAACTATTCAAAATGTCCACTACCGGTTCTCCAGAACTGGTCAGAACTTGCTGAATACCACTTCTGACATGGACCCATTTTGCCATGAATATTGCCTTACTGAAGTATTCAATAAATCCTTGATTTTATCACATGCTAAAGCAACTATACTGAGAAAAAAATGCTTGTGTTAAATGTTTTAAAATAGCATCCATTGAAAGTCATAAAAATGCAAACTTTGTGTTTTACCCCCATTTATCAATGGCCAATCCTTTGCCTCCTATCTTTGACACATTACAGGGCCATTGTTGCTTGAGTGCTACAGAGCTGGGCTGTTTTCATGATCCTTCAAATTAACTGTAGAAATCCGGGTGGCTGCTTACTATGGCATAATTTTCCTTTATAAGAAACGTAGGCAGTGCCTTATTATGGTATAATTCACATATGTTAAGCATCATTTGTAGCTTACTCAATTAACCATGATTAAACAGTTGGCTGATTTCACACTATTACCCTGTTTCCCTGAAAATAAGACCTCCCCGGATAATAATCCCAATTGAGCTTTTGAGCACAAGCACTAAAATAAGCCCTCCCCCAAAATAAGCCCTCCCTGAAAATATTGCAGCACAGCAGCAGCCATTAGGTGACCATGCTCACCGCCTCCTGCACCTCAAAAATAATAAGACCTCCCCGAAAATCAGGCCAAGTGCTTATTTCAGGGGTCAAAAGAAAATAAGACCCTATCTTATTTTGGAGGAAACACGGTATATTTAACAAAATCAAATAAACCAGTGGTTGTCAACTATTTCTTGACTACAGATTTCCTTTAAATACATTTTGTGGCCATGAATCATCAATCTTCAAGCCTACAAGCCTACATGATGTCATCATGACCTCCCAGGGGTCTCCCAGGTTGAGAACCACTGAAATAAAAAACATTCCAGTGTGTGATGTCAAACTAGGCATAGTCAGCCATTGGCCCAACTAAGTGATGTCAAGACCAGCTTTCTCCAGCCTGATGTCGTCCAACTGTTGACTATAGTTTCCAAAATTTCCTGGTTTCCAGTTTTCTTTTTTTGGGGGTGGGGTGGGGGTGTTGAGATATTGAGATTTGGGCTTAAGCTCTTCCTACTGTATGTATTGAACCACAGGCTTATTGTTATTTCTGAGGCTTAGAAACTGTTTTGCTATTCCTAACTTGAAAGCTTAAAATATTATTAGTCACATTGATTTATTAATGACCTGGTATTTAATTGACTAAGCAACCTTTGAAAGTTCAGATATTTTCATATAAATGATACCTCCAGAGAAATATTACAGAAGCTCCTGTAGCCAATTCCTGTGCATAAAGAAGATTCTAAGGTAAAACATACCTTGCACGTATGTTCAGAAAAAAATATTTAGATAATATAACATCACGTTTGTTGTATGTTTGATTAAAAAAAAGGCTCTACTGCTCTTGGTGTAAACAGCCTTTCCCAGACTGTTCCTTTCCAAATAATTTTAGATGTCAACTCTCATAATTCCTAGCAAGCACTCAATAGGCCAGGCTGGCTGAAGATTATGGAAGTCCAAGACCACTGGAGGGCTTCACATTGGAGATGCTGATGTAAAAGGACAGCTGAAAATGAAAGATTTATAAGCAGTTTGCAGAAAAAACTAGGCATCTTTATACTGACAGCTTTTTTCCTCTTATTGTGACAGGAAACACTGGAGGACATAGACAAAAATGAAGATGGTTTTGTGGATCAGGATGAATACATTGGTATGCCATGGCATGGAGAACTGTACTATTTGTTATAAATATTGTTTCTTTTGTATAAATATATGATTTTTACTGAAACCTTTAAAGTGAAATCTAATACAAAGTAATATTATGTAAGAAAGAAAAAAGAAAAAGAGAAATAAAAGAAAAAGCAAAAAGTTCAAGAAAAGAGAAAAAATTGAATAAAAATAGAAAGAAGTAAAAATATATAAAGAATCATATTCCTTTTTTTTAATAATCTATCCTCTTTAATCCTCAAAGACATAAATCAAAAGCTCATTTTTATAATTTCTTGCAAAATGTCCATAAGATAGTTCTACTCACCAATAATTGTAGATAATTTCTTTTCTCTAATAAAAAAAACAATTTATCCATTTCAGCAAAATATGTCAATTTCACCAATCATTCTTCCATTATGGACAATGTTGAATCTTTCCATCTTGGTGTATGTATTAATCATGTTACACTAATCATATATTGAAATAATCTCCCATAATATTTTTCTAAGTATTCTCCCATTAGTCCTAAATTCTGACTTCAATTGAATACCAGTCTATATCAAAGTTTGTATTTGAATCCATTTCTTTTAGCTTTTATTCATGTCCACCAAACATGAATACCTTAGCTTTCCTAACTCATTTTTCCAAGTGTTGTTTGATTTCCAATTCGTCTTGTTTTTTCAAAGCAACAATGGTTCCTCTTTGGAGTACTTAGTGCTTAGGGCAAAGAAATGAAAAGGAAATTTAATGAAGAGGTACCGGTATTTCCTATGAATGGATATAGCTAAAGCTTCACTAAAAACCACTAAGTTCCACAAAGCTGATTGTTGTTTCTCTAAAATTCCTGGTGATTTCTATTCCTTCAGCTTGTTTGATTCTGATGTTATCCACAGAGACTTTGGCTGGCAGAAAGAAAATGCGGAGTTGCTCTAGGCTGTTTTTCTAGTCAGATTTCTAAAGGTAGCATAAAAGAAAGTGGTTGGATTGTGTAACAGGAAAGTGTGACTCTTCTAACTTCTTTAGTCTTAGAAGATATTCAGTAGGTAAGAAAAGGGATCAGCATTCTCCTATTTTATTAAAAAAATGTTATTTTCCATCAGACAAAAGATGCAAGAAGATGCAATACCCAGGCTTGTAAATAAGCCCACTGAAGTAGCATAGGTTTAGCAGCATAAACCAAAGTAGAAATATAAACAGAGTTTTGAAGATGTGGTGAGAATAGAATCTTTTAATATTTGGGAAGGAGCAGAAAGGGGCAACCATGGCAGCACAATTACAACGCTACTTGTTTTATATGTGCAGCACGCATAAAGTGGACAGTACAGGTAGTCCTTGAGTTACGACTACAATTGAGCATAAAAGTTTTGTTGCTAAGTGAAACATTTGTTAAGTGAGTTTTATAAAGTTAGTAACAGGGTTGTTAATGAATTGGCTGCCCCATTGACTTTGCTTGTCAAAAGGTAATAACACGAACCCAGGGTACGGCAACTGTCATAAATATGAGTTGCCGAGCATCTGGATTATGATCATGTGACCACAGGGATGCTGCAATGATTATAAATGTGAAAAATGGTCATAACTTTTTTTCAGTACCGTTATAACTTAGAACACTCATTAAATGAACTGGTGTAAGTCAAGGACTACCTGCATTGTAGTCCCAGTTGCAGACGCTATCTTGATTTTGTGTGAACTATTTTATATTCTAATATACCGTGCAGAAGAAGTTATCTCTAAACAAATGCAATTTTAATTATGTATTAAATGGCACTTTCTCCTTATCAGCTCAGCCTCTTTCATATTATCTGATGACTTAAATAAAGATGAAGGCCACTTTTTTTTGTTAGCTATAGTTATGATTATAAATCAGAAAAGCAAATAAGGAGAAAGGTGACTTACAGAATGTGTGAAATATTTAAGCATATACATGGATTTCTGGGTTGTCCTTCAAGTAGCAGTTACATTATCAATTCAAGAGCAGTAAAATGCTGCATGACGATAAAAGAAGTGTGAAGCCACAATGCAAATAACATAAGAGCATATGCAAAGTGGATTCTGAGAATCATTACACAAAAGTCTTTTCCCCCCATCCCTCCTGTCTGGTGCAGAAGTCCACATCTAACTCTTGAATTTTTAACTGGCTCTAAAACAAATTTTCTCCCACCTTACGAGCTGATTCCAATTTCTGCAAACTACAGTCAGTATTAATGAAGATGTAGCACTAAACCAGGAGAAAAGGAAATGATGGAAAATTATGTTATGAGATGTAATTGCATCTAATGCATTTACCATAAGTTGCCTACATACAGTTCATATGATTTTTCCAACCTAGAGATCTTTTAATGTTGGTTTCTCTGAGTTTTAATGTCTCCAACTCTTCAGGATCAGGTTGATTGGTGTTTTTCTTTCTTTTGAAGAGTATCCCCCCCCCCCCCCCCATGAATAAATCTATTATAAAAAGTTTGGGTTCAGTAGGTGCTGAGTTATGTGGAGGGAAGGAAAGGGGGTAATTTTTTAAAAAAAGTATGAAAATACGTTTAGCCTAACAACTATCTCATAGTCTTGTACATCTATTTAATTTTAATCATTTGGCACCTGTTCATATAAGCTTCATTGGAAGTTTATTGTCTTCTTGATTTATGTGGTTTAATTGGTTGGATTTTCATACTGAAATTTTGGGTGACTATAATGCATTTGATTTTGTATAATCATGAATCATTGAGAAATATGTCTGTATAGAAATACAGTAAATAAATAAAGGTAGGATACGTCTTTTCTCTAGTACAAAAACTCAGTTTAACATAATATTTCTTGTTTCCAGCTGACATGTTTGCACATGAAGATGGGGGACCTGAACCAGATTGGGTGGTAACAGAACGTGAACAGTTTGCAGATTTTCGAGATCTAAACAAGGATGGAAAAATGGATAAAGAAGAAATTCGACACTGGATTCTTCCAAAAGATTATGATCATGCACAAGCTGAAGCAAGGCATTTAGTTTATGAATCAGATGCAGATAAGGTATTTAGGGGTTTTTTCCCCACAGGTGTCATGTTAGCTTATACGTGTTTTCTTCAAATCAAGGAAGCAAGTTTTAGATTATTTTTTTCACACCAACAATTTATTTTTCAAATTGTTTTGGTACTTTTGCAAGCAAATGCCAAGCAACTTTTGCAAGCAACCTCTTTTTTGTATATTGTTTTTTTTATATGGCCGGAAGCATTGAGGCTCGCATATAAAGGGATTTAGAGAAAAATATAAATAAATACCAATCCAAATTCTTATACCAGAGTTTGGAGTTTTAAAACAAAGAGGCACAAAATTGACTAGGAACATAGCTGTGTATAGGGCCCCTCCTGTTGATCTTCTGCTGAATCCTTGGTACATTTGCAGGTCTCAGAGGAAAGAAATACCCAGAAATACCTACAAAAGTAGCAGAATATAATCAATCTCAGGACAACTGGGTTATGTAGGCCAAATTTTCATCATGGAAACAAGCATTTTAGAGCAACATTAAAAAGGGACTGTTGATATTATTGCAGCTTATCTGCAGCTAATGATTGTCTGCAGCTTATGATTTTTGAATAATCATTTTTCATAGAACTAAGTAGTTTTGTATGTGTCTGTGTATTTATGTGTATGTGAATATACATACATATACAGATCTTATTTTTAGATATACATTAAAGCTATGTAATTAGAACTGAATATTTGTAGCTGTTTTTCTAACCAGCTTTTTTTTCCCCCCTTGCAGGATCAGAAGTTAACCAAACAAGAGATTCTAGATAATTGGAACATGTTTGTTGGAAGTCAAGCTACAAATTATGGAGAAGATCTCACAAAGAATCATGATGAGCTATAATGTTTTTTGAAAAGCAAATATATCAGAGACTTTTGTCTGAGTTGCCTGTAGATGACCAGAATAACAATGGTCATTATGGCAAATTAATTTTGCACCAGTATATATTTCTAACAAAAAAGCAATTCTGTTAATACCATTGAATGCCACAGATGTCACTTCTTCTAAATGCATATTTTAATGAATTCATTGTAACTTGGGGAGCGCATTTTCCATTTGTAGGTTGACATACTTTCACTTCAATCTTGTAACCTTGGATTTATCACTAAAATCAGTGAGATTTAACCTGTGAAACAGAGTAACAGAGTAAGATAAACAGCCTCCCATCTTACTGCTTAACATGTACAACATCATACTATGTGTGGAGAGTTGAATAATTTAGTGCTCTTTCATGGTATAGTCCACAGGTGTCAAACTCTCTGCGTCACATTACTGTCACATGACTTTTTCCCATCGTGGGTGTGGCCTGCACATGACGCATCTATACCGTGGGCCACCAGTTTGACACCCGGGTATAATGAAACCCCCCATATTTCAAAGAACATAGAGTCTAACAAATGTGTTTGGGGTACAACTCATTCCCAATCCACGTGACCAATGGTAGACAAAAAGCTTGGCTTTCATCCCTGCCATGTAGGGATTTCTTTTATATCAGAATGTTTCAAATGTTTTATCTCATGTATAATGAAGTGGTAGAAGCATCGTGTAAGGTTACATCACATGAAGTATACTATCATCAGAATGCATTGCTCAGGTTTTCAGTGATAGGTCTCTACTCAGAACCAAGATCTCATCTTAGAAAGTTACACAACTCATAATGCTTTTGACAGAGAAATAATCAACCTAGTCATTTCCAAGAGTTATTGCAAATGAACCATCATCTAGAACTCAGTCCCTTCCAGACTGATGAGAATGTGTGGATTGGGATTTATATATTTTTATACAAAAAGCTACAGCATTTTCATAATGAAGAAAATATATATGTTACATGGTTTCTTTAAATTTTTCTTCTGAGAAGGGCAGGCATTCTTGGAGACTAATTCTCATATGGAAGTTGCAGTGTTCTAATGGAAGTTGCAGTGTTAAAACAACTGAAAGGTACTAGATTGCCTTTCGCTGTTCGAATATATAATTTATGGGATGCCTGTCTGTTCTATTTTGAAAATTCTTAACAGCAGAAAAGGTGCTCATTTTCCATCTTCATTTTCTCCTTACAAGGAAGTGTATTGGTACTAAATAATATGAAAGACAAAAGTACCACAGGGAAGGAGAATTTGTACAGACTTGAGCACAGACTGCTATCTTGATATGGGATTTTGTGAGGTAAATTGCCACTTTTAGATTTTTGTTCTTGACTGTTAACTTACTCTATTTCGTGTGGCATACAAGCTTTTCCAGTATTTTTGCCTTTATGGACCAGAAACCATGAACAATAAATACATTAATTTTAAAATCTCATAAGTGGAGATTAAGAAGGCATCATTCTAGATACTTTCTTTTCTAATACTATTAGTGATTGGCTGGGGGGGGGAGCCTTTCCTGTAATACTTTTTATTCACTTTCTGACAAAATTCAATCTGATGTGAATGAGGAAACACCACATACAAGCTGTAGGCTGCAACCAGATAAACTGCAGCCTTTTCCAACTTGACATTCTCCACATGTTTTGGACTATAGCTCACATTATCTGCAGCATGAGGAGAGACTAAGTGGAAATTTATGAAGTTGTAGTCATAATACTCTGAAGGCACCAGACTGAGAAATATTGGAACCCAAGCATTGTGGTTTCATCAGTCAATCATGGGCTTAATATTATGCGAATCCAAATACAATTTGGTTTATTTGATTCTGCCTTATCATGTTATAAAAACCATGGATTGTAGATCAGCATAACATAGGAACCCAAGCATTGTAGTTTAATCAATCAATCATGGGTTTAATGTTATGTGAATCCAGATGATTCTGGAAAGCTATATTTCTGCAATGCATCAGGTCAATTGCTGCTATTGTTCAGGAGTAATAGTTTTTATTCTGCATGGATGACAACGATTGAGCTAGCTTTTTTTTTTCAAAGGGCAGCTGGATGTAACTTATGGAAGGATACACCATGTCAAATATGGGAAAGGGATTGCCGCAATGGCATTCCACTGTACTTTACTAGTGGAGGAGAAAATCCCAAGCACTTATTGGGGAAAATGACAAAGTTTGCCTTTGTAGAACAGGAAGTGAATGCACTGCCCTTATTAAGTGAAAGGTAAAATGGCTCCTAGGCCCTGGAACAATATGTGATTTCTATTGGGAAAACCTAATCCCATGCCTAACTTCTGGATACCTATGGATGACATGCAAGGGTCCATACTTTTTCTCTGCTGCCAACTAGTGGTCATCTAAATTATTGCAGACCAGATATGTCATGTAGCAAATGCAGCATGTGATTAAAACAGTTTTTAAAGAGTGACATTGTTGGGGAAATACTACTAAATATATGGTTCATACAACATGATGCTGTACCATGGTGAAGAAATTCTTTGGGACATAGACATAATCAAACACCTTTGTCCTTGCATATTCTCCTCTGGCCCATGCCAAGTTCTTCATTTTCAGGCTTCAATTCTCAGAATTTTCGAACAATCATAATGCTTGTTTGGGATTTCTGGAAGCTGCAAGTATAATACAGCTGAAGAACATTGGATTGGGAAGATATTAATCTTTGGAACCAAAGAATAATGGAAAAATGCAACAAAATTTATGAACTTAAAAAATTCTTTAAATTCTTATGAGTTAAATTCTTGAAGTTATATTTAGGAATAGGAATGAACAAAAATTCCAACTACAGCAATCTTGAAGCATTTGATAAATTTTCAGGATGCTTATTTTAGTTACTCAAGTAACTAAAATAGACCAAGGGTGCTGGGTTTAACTTGAAACACTAATTAATTAATTAAATCAAACCTTTGCCTAAGCATAATCAATCAATCAATCAAAAAGGATTTTAATGGAGCTTGACTGTTCAGAGATGTTTGTCTCGGTAATATCATTAAAATCCAATTATGACAAATGCTACAAAATGTTATGGTAATACTATGCCATATAATATAATTTATCTTCTTAGTATGAGAAAGTATTAATTGCTGGAAACAATGATTCATTCCCGCAATATAGAAATCCATTTTGTGCGTTTCTCACCAGTTACAGTACTTCAGATTTTTTTCTTCATGAATGGATTTTTATATCTGCAGGTTCTCTGTGCACACTGTTGTGACATAGATCTTCCATTAACTAAATGCTTTTATTATGGTGATGTCATGACACACCAAAGACATCTCTTCAATTCAGAGAATGTTTTTAAGAATTAGCATGCATGCAGTTTTGTTATTAGGACTTACCAAATTGCCTTAATGGCTAACGCTCATTGTCTTAAAGCCCCACATGTGTCGGCCATTTCCAATTAGTATTTCTCCTACAGCAGTGTTTCTCAACCTTGGCAACTTGAAGATGTCTGGACTTCAACTCCCAGAATTCCCCAGCCAGCATCGGGAATTCTGGGAGTTGGAAGTCCAGACATCTTCAAGTTGCCAAGGTTGAGAAACACTGTCCTACAGGATAGAGAAAATACTGCACACACAGCTTTGTTTTTATATAAGGACTATCTCCATGCTTTTATATTATGCTCTATAGACGCTGAGCTTATTCTTACGGGCATCACCAGTAAATTCATAATGTTATAAAGAGAGAGACAACTCACTGTGATCACAGATAATAAGTAAACAACAGTTTATTTGGAACTTTTGTCCTATGTTTACTTACTTGAAACCCTGCCCCTCCCAAATGTGTACATGGAATAAAGTTTCTGGCAAATTGCTACAGATGCAAATGTATTTGTTTATGTAAATGGGTTGATTGGTTGAATGGATAGAAGATAGATCAATAGCAATAGCACTTGGACTTACTGAATATACCTCTTCACTGCGTTTTAAAGCCCTCTAAGCAGTTTACAGATTCAGCATATTGCCTCCAATAATCTGGGTCCTCATTTTACTGGCCTCGGAAGTATGAAAGGCTAAGTCAACCTTGAGCCGCTCAGAATTGAACTGGAGTGAGCATGGAGTTAGCCTGCAGTACTGCATTCTAACCACTCCACCACTGGATGGATGGATAGACGGACGGACAGACAGACTTCACACAGCCCATCTAGAGTCACTAGTCTTTGCATAAAAAATGTTACTTAGGAAATATGCCTGGTTGCACTGCTCTTGTCCTTTATGAGCTTTTGCATAAATCAAGTACATCTCTACATGGAAGAGAACCTTGACTTTAGTGATACAAGTACTAGTAGTCTCATGTTTTTCATTGTTTTAAATGGTATTGTGAGCAGACCCTTAAAGATAGTCTGGAAATTGCCCCTGGCACAATATTTCAGCATGGGTGGTGAGTAGTTCTATATAATCATCACCTGAAGAATATCACTGGTTAACAACCGCCTCTGAAAATATTCAAAAAAAATTCTTCAAGTGTTCGTAATGGTGTATAAAGCCTGAACAGTTTAGGCTATTTTAAGGGACAACAGCCTCTTGTGTTAGTCTGCTGTGGTTGATATCAATGGTTATCTCTGCAATGGGAGGTCATATTATAGAATAAATTGCTACTGGAACTAAAACAATGCACCCTTTATTACTGTTCAGGAGTTAACATCTGATTATATTTTTGAAGTTTTTTATTGTGTTTTTAATGCGTTTTCCATTTTTAATATAATGAAATGAAAGGACAGCAAATAAAATGTCCAAAGAAGGGCTCTTTTTAATTTGTAGATACTATACTTGAAATAATTTTCATAAAACCTTGCAAGAGAAGGCATTCAATGTAGACAAACTTGCAGTGTTTCTCATATGTTTACCTTTAACTTCATGTTCCACTTATGGATAATACATAGTAACCTGTGGAACCCTCAATGCTTTCTAAGCTCGGTTATTTACTTGCAGACATTTCATTACCCAACTAGGTAACATCATCCCTGAGTCAGTATAGTGCTTACTGCCCATTTATATACAGTTGTTTGCCCAGCCAGTTTTGGTGGGGCTGTGTGGTTTTCTCCTTGGTAGTTCCCTGATTAAGGTATTGTTTTTCACTTGATTGCCTGATGTTAATTCTTGCTTATCTCACTTTTGGCTGCTGAAGAGAATGTGTTCTGGTCTTTTATTTTCAGTAACAAAAGGCTGAATGTTTTGTCACTTCATATATTACAGACAGAATTAGCCTAGGTAGATGTATCTGTAAGAATTGAGACATAAAGCAATATTTGACTTTAAGGCTGTGCCTGCTGGACAATGGACATGGGGACATATCTGGTAACTCTAATTCAACCAGAATAATCCTTGATGATAGGATATATTGGTGCATTGTCCAGATCACTCTATCACGCTTGCATTAGTTTTATATATGCTTCATTAATATAATATAATACCAGTCTAATATAATACCAGGTCTGTGTGTCAGGGCAGGACAATCCAGAGCAATACAAAGTATTCTGAAAACATACAGCCCATAATGCACCTGTACAGCACTACATATGTATAAACATACTTTCAGCATTATTTTTAACAAACATTTCCCAAATGACATATGTCTGCGTATATTTAATCACAAAATATACATTTTGTGCATATTTACCCTATTTAATATTATCATGCAGCTGCGACTTATATTGCAACCAGATAAGCATACACAAACCGAGGGATAATGTGTGATTTGCACAGTATCTCAGATGAGAGTTAGATGTATTTGCTTTAAATGTGGCACTCCTATGCCATTAATCCCTAGCAATTGTAGTCAGAGCACACATCTCACAGAGCCATGATACCAACATCCATTAACAGACTCTTTCTGGATGAAAATTATACGATAAAATAAAAATGTTTAAAAGCCACTTAAAATAAATCCCATTATGAATTCTAGTGGTACAAGTGATTTGGGGGGTGGGCGGTGGGGCATATTGGAGATATCTGTTCCCTATCTATTACAAATCACTCTGGGTGATCCAAAGTAAGCTTTAGTTTTCATTTTATATAGTACACTTTCATTTAAAACACAAAATAATCTATCACAATACAGCTTTGTTTTATAAAGATCCTGTAATATGTCCAGTGGAAGGCAAGAGAAATGTAATTCACAATATTCTGAATGGGAATATATAGGATGATGCTTTACTCCAGGTATTGATTCATCCACATTGATGAGTGCCAAAGGAACCACACAAACACATCACCTCAGCTCTAATACTAGAACAGATCCAGTGGTGGGATTCAAATAATTTAACAACTGGTTCTCTGCCCTAATGATTTCTTCCAACAACCAGTTCACCAAACTGCTCAGAAAGTTAACAACTGGTTCTCCCAAAGTGGAGTGAACTGGCTGAATCCCACCACTGGACTTACCTGTAAATCCAAGGGCCAGCAACATCACTATCTGCCTGGCATCAGGAATCCACATTGCTGGG